TCCCTCGAATTTTCTTGATTTTCTTGTATCACTCTTCCAGCTCCAGATGTAGCTCAGAATTCCGGGGTCTAGAGCGTGCGGGACTTGGAGTTGGCGTTTTGTCGGTCAGGGGTTAGGGGTGCTGGTTGGCTATAGCGGGTTGGTCTACGTTCTAATGCTAGGTTCCCCAGTAGCCCCGTAAGGATAAGGGTACCCTTTTTCCTACTATTTGGTTTGAATAAGGGAACCCAAAAGGAAAAAAGGACAAAAGGGTACCACTGGGGAATCTGGAATGTAGAGCACCTGAGATACGAGTTCTAGAGCAGGCAGCACCGCAAACCTAGACGTGGGGAGTAGTTTCACTGCCAGACTGCCAGGTTGTCTTGGTGTCGAACACCCCTGGATAGCATGAGCTTTCCTTTTCCCTTCGGGACTCCATGGATTTGCCAAGGGCACGGCCCATGAGCTTCAGGGCTTGGATGTCGGCAGCAGTCCAGGGCGAAATGATTTCGGTAGCCTTTTGGGTTCAGGGTTCCCGGTTTGAGAACCCTAAACCCTAAACCCCAAACCCTTAACCGTGTCAGACGGGTAAGACCCTGGGCTTGGCGTTTGCGATGCTTCCACTGGCCCCACCTTTGCGAGCCTGCGCAGCAATCTACTGAAGATCTGGTGCTACGGATCACCGGGCCGACATCCATAGGGTTTAGGGTTTAGGGTTTAGGCATAATATAAGGGCCTTGATAATTAAAATCGGTTTTGGGATATATATATATATATATAATAATAATAATAATAATAATTATTATTATTATTATAGTTATAATGGGGGCGGCAATTTATCTAGGCCCCTAAATCACGGTATGGGGGCCCTGAACTTTCGGAGCAGCGTGTTGGGGTCCGGTTTTTGTACTGTCAGAGTACATTAACGCCCTAAACCCCAAATCACACCCCCAAGCTCCCGACCCTAATGCCCAATTCAGCATGAAAGGCTTTCAGGAGCCCCCTAAACCCTTTTTTTGCAGCAGGCTTCTCCCGCACGGAACTGCCGCCTAAACCCTAAACTCTAAACCCTTTTGTTGCAACAGGCTTTCCACTTCGCCCGGAGTTGGAACCCTAAACCGGGCGTCTCTTCCATCTCCGGCAGCTCCAGGCCCTCGGCAGCTCTGGCCTTTTGCCCAGGTTTTGGAGGCACATCCACCTGAGCAGCTTTCAGAAACTAGGCGGATTGCAGAAACCTCTGGGTTTCTGTGGGGTTTGAAAGGTTAGATATGGGAACAAGCGCCCTTGTAAATGGTCCCTCGAAGTACCTCGAGTTTGAGGAAACCCCGCGCGAGCAGTTTCTAATCTCGGGCTTCCGTCTACGCATTCTCTGCGCCTGGGCCGGGGAGGAGAGCTGCAGTGAGGTAGCACATGGATCACCCGCATCTGATGCTGAATCAAGCACTGCACCCTTTAACCCGAATGAGGGGCTAGGTTGCAAGAGGGGCTAAGCGGTTAGGCTTGCAGGAGCTCAAGGCTTCAATTGGGACTTTCTCGATCTCGGACCATCCGGGCGGGGCTCTGTACCACGGGGCGTTCGGGCTTTAGGAGTTCAGAGGCTGGATGCCAAAGCTCTGCCCGGAGAGCGATATCTCGTAGCACGTAGCTATAGAAACGACGGCTGAACCGTTGAAATGATTTGAGGTGTGTGTGTGTGTGTGTATATATATATATACATATGTACTCTCTCTTCACACACAAACATATATATATATATACATATATATATACACATATATATATATATATAATAGAACTATGCAAAGACCCTCAAAACCCTGTATGCCTTGGTTGCTATTCCTCCACCACAAGGCTAAAGCTCTCTGAATGTTTTCAGACACCGGGCCAGAAGCGCCCCATCCTGCGCGCTGTAGTTCACCTTGCTTGCTCTTGGGATGCGTCTTTGCTGTTGGGCTTTCGGGCCTTTTGGGGCTTAGGTTGGGTACTGCCCCAATACAGTAACAGTCTATAATAGGGATACTATTAAGGGCCTTATACATCTCTATTATGATTATTATCAACTGTTACTGAGTGGGGGCAGTATTTGGAAGGTCTCGGCCTAGGGGATTTAGGCATCTGGGCCTTGGGATTTGGGTTTGGGGTTGAGGAAGTTTGGGGCGTAGGTATGGGAGAAATCCCATCGCAGTCGTCAAATGCGAGTGGCAGGCAAGGACAAAATATTGTGTTTTGGAGAATGCAAGAACAACAAGTCCAAACTGCACAATGCGCCCACAACCCAACAACGCAAACATAACATGCAACAACATGATACTAGACAGCTCGACCATGTTTGTACCTGTCGTCTGCAACTGCCAGCCAGCCTGACTTCCGGTGTTGTCCCGTGGATGAAACTCGATGGGAAGCTGATGAAACTGGCAGAACACATGCAAATAAAGGGGCCCGACTGTACACCAGACCCTTAGCCCAACGATCTATCGCGAGGCCCCTGCTTCCTGTCACCGCATCAACCCGCCACAGCCCGGCCCCAATTTTAGTGTTTAGGGTTTTACGGCATATTTGTAGGGTCTAGTATCTAGCCTTTGTATGACATTCTAAACAAGATGGCCAGCGGCAGAGACCTTGCTGGCATCCGGCAGGAACGGAAGGGGAAAGCTCCGCTGAAAGCTGGTCACCATCTGCGCGACACGAACGTTTACGTGGGGCCTTAATGGCCTTAACAATTGGTCTAGGGCTTTGGGGACACACTACAAATATGGGGGTTTCCGAAATAGGGGACCCTAATATAGCATCCCAAATCGTAGGATCCTTATTATAAGGACCCCGGTATTTTCACCGGTCAAAGTACGTTCCTCATCTCTCTCGTGATTTGAGGCCTTCCGGGTTTCACAGAGGATTTTCGTTGCGGCTCCAGTTTCTTGGTCTTGCGAAGTAAACAAGCTCAAACAGCACTACAAAAGCAGCAGCGACCGGGGATGAATGATCATGGTGATCGTGTTTGTAGTCGTCATAATATTCGGATACTCATTGCTAGAAGAAAGCGAAGCAACCACAACAATCTCAGTTACTGCTAGGTATGGGCTACGACGCACGAAATCCAAAACCTCAAAGTTTAAACCCAATCCTTTACCTCAGCTTTTTCTGAACCCGTGGCTCGTGGTGGCTCGTGCTCGAACCCTAAACCCGAAAACCTTACACCCAACAGCCAATGTGCTTCAGCCCTCAACATCCCTTCCTGGCCTGTCCCGTGGTCTTCTGTCCCTGAACAACAAGAGTGTCACCTACAACCTTGGCCGAGCTGGGAGTACCAGGGTAGTTTCAGGCTTGACAGACTTGGAAACGGAATCGTAATGTAGCCCCCGGAATACTAAACGAGGGGTTTACTAGTCAGAGGGTCCACATGACGGTTTGGGGTCCAATTTCTGGGTTGCGGCGTGGAAGAGGTTAAGGTTTTGGAGCTTGAGCTTTAGGGTCAAGTCTCTATTGAAGTGGATCTGTCTGTTGACCCTCGAAACTTTACCAAGCGAAAGTGTTGAAGCGGCTGAGGTATTTCATATATATATATATACACATAATGCTATCTGTCTATCTATCTATTCAATCTACTCGCTTCTGTTGGCAAACGACTGCGGAGTTCTGAATACCAATTTGGCAGAACCAGGGTTTGCAGCGTGAGCACTGCTGGGGAACAACAACCGCGAAACAGAATCACCACCCCAACCCTGCCATCACCCAGCAAATTCAGCAACAATTACCAGCTCAATGGTTTAGGGTTAAGGATACACCTTGAACCATCAGACAGATAAAACCTAAATGCCTGCTCTGCTTGGCTTTGTGCCTTGCGCTGTGCCATTGCAGAACAGAGCAATGAGAGCAAGGTCAACTCAGGATCTAATCTGCTCCCCGGAACACCAAGCTCGCAAGCCCACACTGCGTGTCCGCCGAGTGACCTTCACGTTTAATGGCTCGTCTCCGTCACCAGATCTGTGCATGCTGTAGCCTTGGGACGACTGAACTAAACATGCAAGACTGTCCCTGTCGAAGTAGACCGACTTCGTTACTCCAGTAGCCGAATGATTAAACCCTTTAACATAGGGGCCTAAATAATTACCAGTGCTATTTTGGGGTTTCTTTTTCAAAAGTTTTATAGAATGATATACCCCAATCCCCTATTCCAATTTTTAAGGCCCCTATATTACTTGAACCGAGACACCTGGTCCCTAAACCCTAAACTCTCTATATATATATATATATATATTACTTGAACCGAGACACCTGGAAGAGAGGCTCGGAGGCGGAAGTGGCCGTTGGTCACGCCTTCTTGCGTTTAGGGTTTAGGGTTTAGGGCACGGCAGAAGGGTTTAGGGGTCTAGGGTCCCTCTGTAGGCTTTGGGTTCAGGTTTGTTTAGGGTTTAGGGTTTCATATAGCGGCCTTAGTAATTAGAGTAGGGTTTTGGGACCTATTATACTATGACTATGGTAAGGAACCCCCTTAAGCTAGTGTAGGTAATTATTTAGGCCCCTATGTTACTTGATCCAGAGCATACGCCCGGCAGAAGGTTCTTCAAGGAAGCTTGTGTGGGGTGTACACGTTCTCATATAAGGATCTACTGAAATAATCCTGCTGAGTTTAGACGCTGGTGGGGTTGAAGTCCTCTTTTCTTGTGTGTTTCTGTGGCATTTTGCTTTTGAGGCCGGGTTGCCTTCAGGTTAGGGATTTAAGCCACGAGGTTTCAGTTTCAGGCGCTTGATGATGAGCCTATGAGAAACTCAAAGACTATTTATGTAGACCTGAAAGCCACTAAGCCTACCTCGAAGGAGCTTTCGTTCTAGAGCTTGGGGCTTTCGGGGGTATCAGGCGCTGCTAGCAGTGTTTTGTGCTGCTTACTCTGGGGCATGTTCGGGAGAACATACTAATGAAATGAATGGTCTGGGCAAGAGCAGGATTCCCAGGATCGTGATCCCTATTACAGCAACTCACGACGACTCCCGTATCATGGAGCTTCTAAGTTATTGACCGCTATACAAAGTCCGCCGACTGAAACCCAGCATATTGAGAGAAATACGTTCCTTAGCTGTCGTTCTGGCGCATCATGCGGTCCCTACACCCTTTTCACCCTAAACCTCCCACCAACCCTAGACCCTAAATCACTCAAGGGATTTAGTTGGAGGTTCATGGGTAGTTATAAGTGGGGTTATAAGTAAGGTAACTATAGTTATAACTAGCTGGGCTATAAGGACGGTAACTATACTTATAAGTTATAACCCATATTAGGGGACTTATAACCATACTTATAACTACCCATGAACCTCCAAGTAGGATTCGGCGAAGGGAGCTCATAGTCTCGGGGCCCCGGCTCGTTTGGAAGCCGCCGCTGCCCGACTGCATCGCCGGTACCAAGTGCGCTCCGAAGCCTTTCCTAGGCTGGGGGTCATGGTTTTGTCTTTTCTACTTAGCAAGGACGAGACCGCATTGCAGGGTATACTCCAGAAAAGGCAGCCTTAGGTTTCCAGGCACCACTAATCTGAATCCCGACGTCACCCACAAGGGGCAACTTTAGGGTTGTGGTTTAGGATTTAAGGTTTACTCTCCGTACTTAGTTAGGTGCCCAGAGGAAACTCGTCAGTCAGATCTTGATTCAATTCAGCCGCTTCGTAGCCCCAAAAGCCTTCTTTTCGATCGAACATCAAGAAACCCTGAGCCCCCAAGGCTTAGGGACTGGTTGCTGTAGGGGCCTGAAAAATTACCTATACTATTTTGGGGTTCCTTATTATAATGGTAGTATAATGGGCGCCCCAAAAGCCTATTCTAATTATTGTTAAGGCCCCTATATTCGGGTTCATAGCACCTGCACCTCTGCGCCAGGAACCTCTCAGTTCCATGAAAAGCCCCAGCTGCAGCAAGCCCCGAAAGAGGTCCGGCTGCTGAAACTCCAGGGGCCCTTCATCAGAAGCCCCGTGGGCAAGCAGGTGGTGGCTCGGGCCGGTCCTGGTGCTGTAAAGTGGGGGCAGGGGGATTTTCGAGATCTTGGATGGCCTGTTGGGCTCTGAAGATGCGCCAGCACCCAAGGCTCCCCTTCAAGGTTGAAGTTTTGCGGTTTTTTTTTGAGGTATCCATATACTTAAGCCCCAGCTATATGCTCACCAATATTCAGCCGGAGCCCTACATACTTTCACCAACAACGGTGCGGGTACTATTAACCCTACTTCATCGGTACATGGCCGCTAAACGCTTAAAGCATCTGAAGGCCCTGATTATGGACAATGAAGCCGCATGAAGCCCCAAAGCTCTAAGCCCTAAACCCTAAAGTCCTGCAAAGATCCTACAATGCTAGAACTCCCACCCCAAACCAGAAACCCTGAACTCTACATGCATACAAGCGTACATGCATACATACATACATACACATATGTTCTTGTATTGTACGATGGTTTAATATATCATATTATGAGTCTTATATATTTAATGGAATATACAAATGTATATACATATTTTTATTATATGTATATATATATATATATAATTATAAATACATACACAAGTACTCAAATCTCAGGAAGCTCGGTCCTTGGCCCCGGTCCTGCGAGCATCTCATGCAAAGCCTGGCCAAGGTCCGATTCCATCAGCGGGCCCAGGTTGATGACCACCGGCTTCCCTGCTTGGAGGTTCATGGGTAGTTATAAATGGAGTTATAAGTAGGGTAACTATAATAATAACCCATATTAGGGGGCTTATAACCATACTTGTAACTACCCATGAACCTCCAAGTGGCTGTAGCTTGAGGGGTTTAGGGGTTCTACTAGGGTTTAAGTTCAGAGTCTTGTGGGGGTCTTGGGGTTTAGGGTTCTACTAGGGTGTAAGGGTTCAGGGCTTAACAGGCTTCTGGGGGGTTTAGGGTTTAGGGGTTTTGCTAGGCAAAAAGAGTGTTCTAAGGGTTCTAGACGGGTTACTATGAGAGTGAGGCTTAAGTTTGGCTTTTTGGACTTCGTTTGTCTAAGATATTTCTAAGGCTTGTATACAGGGCTCTCGGGCGTTCTAAGGCTGTGCTATAAAATTAAGTTCAAGTACGTTTTAAAATTTCTACCGGTGTTCAAGGAACTTGATAATTTGAGTCACCGTTACAAGACAGGCACATTGATTTGCTGAGTCATGGTGGGTTTCTGGCCATCGGCTTCAGGTAGTTTTTTTGATGAATGCCTTTTTCGGTCTGCAGGTAGAGTCTAGAGTTTAGGGTTTCGAGTTCCGGCCGGTATTGATACTTCGAACTTTGAGGTTTTGTAGCTTTTGGAAGCGGTAGCCTCCTTGGTCCTACGGCATGTTTGCTAGCTTGGTGTTTTGAGCCTTGAAGGCCAAACTGCACGTACCCTGACGTTCTCTTTTACTCAACACCTCAGATGGGATTTTCCTTTGTATAGGGAGCTTCATAGGAAGATCCGACAGATAAGGTGTACAAACAGGGATCCCAATTTTCCATGAGACAGCCTGCAAAATCCTACACACCTGGAAACCCCATCCTGCGGTCATGACCATCCTGTCTTTTCCATGCCAAAGTCATGCCAAAATCTGCTTTACGGTTGACGGTTTACCCGGACCCTAGAGAACACACTCGTTTAGTGTGTGAATTATTAGATCAGAAGCCATAAACTCTAACAAGGTAGGCTCAGGGTTTGCGGAACCGGCATAGGAGTTAAGGTTCACGGCTTGATTCGTGCTTGGTTGGGTTCGAGGTTCAGGGTGGTCCGGCTGGGTGGAAGAGGAAGTCGTCCATGTCCGTCTGTGAAAGAGTGCATCGCAGAAGAAGCGGAAGCAGAATCCAACGGCAGGATTGGCGGGGAGCAGCGCCACTATAGGGAGCCATGTGGCGCCGCAGCGACTTACTGTCCAGCCGGTGCTCCACCTAGTGCTCTGGCAGGGGTAAATAAGAAAGGCCATCCATCCTATAATCTACATTAAGATATGATGGCTGGTCCGGAAATTCACTTCTGGGACCGTTCCAGACAGAGCACTAAGTATCTATGTACATTCGTCAGTCTATCTCTCGAGCCAAAACGATGGCATATTTGTATATTGGTACATTAGTATACTCGTTTATGAGTATATTTGTATATTGACATATCTGGTTCCCTGTTGGGGCTATATTAAAAATGGACATTTTTAATCCTTATTCACAAAAATGTAAAATTGTGTCCAACAAGGACCCGGATACTAGTATACTCGTTTATTCGTATATGTGTATATTGTCATATTGGTATATTAGTACATTGGTTTTTTAGATATGGATGAAGGCTTTCGGGTCACGAGCGGAAGGCGGCGGTTTCACCTGGGGACGTCCATCATCTCGACAACTCTATCTAGTATGAGGTTTAGGGTTTAGGGTTTAGGGTTAATATGAGGGCCTTAGTGATTAGAACAAGGTTTTGGGGCTTCTTATACTACAAGTATAACAAAACCCTAAGGACTTAGTGATTAGAACAAGGCTTTGGGGCTCCTTATACTAGTATAAGTATAATAAAACCCTTAAGGAACCCTGTTCTACTTGTTACCGGGCCTTGTATTCGAGCTGCCATGCAAATCTCTGGCCGTCTTGCGATAACCAGAACTCAACCTGTGCTATAGGAAGCTAATAGACATATTAATATGTATTTGGAGATCATGTGAGTGAAAGTTGGTGTGCAATTCGTATAGCCGTCCGACATGCAGTCTAAGAACATCGGGACGACAAATGCATAACTTCTCATTTCTGCGCAGGCTATCCGGACACTTGACTTCGGACTTTCAGGGGCATTTCTATGGTACTGATCCCTGGTAACGAGGGTCTGAAATTATATCCGACAGTGCATTGAGAAGGAGGCTGAGTCTTTTGTCGCGCGTTTCTCGCAAGTGTCGCTGTTCGGGTGAAACGTTCAGGCCAGCAAGTGATAGCGTACGCATACCTCCATGCGCGCGGCCGTGCGTTCGCTGCCGCCGCCTGGTTTGCACTAGCCTGAGAGTCTGCTCAAAGCAGCTTGCAGGTCGATGCGCTGGGTGCAGAAGCTGACGCCACACCCTGAAGCCTTCTTATTCTTGATGCTGTACGAATACTCATGACCCTGATACAAGTACAAACACAGATAAGCAATCAGAACTCTACACACTACCTTCTTCGAACCCGAATTGTACTGTATCCTTGTCTTGCTAGTCTATCCATACTAAGGATGGACAGCCGGAAACAAAAGAGCTATGCCGCATGGATCAAGAAGCGTTCCTGAATTTTCAGTTTCGGAAACCACACTATGTGCATCCACAGACAAGATGAAGGTTAAAGAACTTCCTTCCTGCCTGAACGCTCCGAATCCTCACCGACCTCACCTTGTAGTAGCTTCCTGCTACGACCTGGGTTCACATTAGAACAAACATCAAAATGAAATTGATGCTCAACGAACTCCTTGTTCCAGTATCCTTGCTAAAGCTCTTGCAGTAATCCTTCTCAGTCCTTCACCTACTGGCAACTATATTCTTATCCTGTATAGAACCCTTATAAAGCCCTTATCAAACTCAGCTTCCTTAAACGCCTCAGCCCGAAACGAAACAGATACCGCTTTGCACCCCTCGAAGAAGCCGATCTCGGACGCAACGGTCCGAAGTGTCCGAGGTCGACAACTGCCCAGCGGAAACCCAAACAAATCCCCTGGCAGGACACCAGGTGTGCACATTGATCTAATCTCTTAAGGACTTAGGAGTTTAGGCTAGGTCTTCTTGATGGGGTTTAGCCTTCTCGTGACTGCCACAATTGTTTGTAAACACGTCGTCCTCATCTGAAGAGCAAGCACTACTCGTCTTCGCTTCAGCTTCCAACTTCGTGGGGTTTACCCTACTTGGAGGTTCATGGGCAGTTATAGATGGGAGTATAAGTAGGGTAACCATAATTAAAACCTCCAAGTAGTTGACTGTCAACCAGAACTGTCGATGAGCTTCCTTTCTGAAAGTGTTTTTCCCCCCGACTTAGCAAGGACGAGAGTGTCAGAAGTAAGGGCTTGGGGGTGAGCCGGGCTTAGGGTTTGAGGCTTTCAAATTCCGCCATACTCGCGGTGAGGCCGGCTTTTCCATGACTGCTGAACAATTTGGGCAAGCGTATCAACAGAAAGCGGAATGAGCACGAAATGCGCAACCTAGCCTGCGCATGAGAGTCTGCATGAGTTGGCAGTAGGCTTACATTCGGGATCCATTCTTTGGGTTCTCCTGGGCCTCTGGTCGGTCGGTGCACAGAAGTTGGGCAAAGGTTGCCCCTTTTGCAGAGTCGTACAGATTGAGGTCTGTGCCAGCTTTGGGCTGAGCCGATTCAAATTCCTAGGGCAAAACCCACTGCTGAAGCAGCCGTTCTTGGTGGACCATCCGGCGGAAGTTGCGCTAAGGAACCGATGCAGTAAAAGCCCTCAGACGCGGGACAAGCAGTAGAATCGACGATGCCCGAAGGCCCCAGAAACAGAAATTCTCCGGCCGTATGCCGCTCCAGCAGCGTGGCTCCTACCTTCTCATATGGAGAAAGGCCCAGAGCAGTGCCTAGAAGTGCTCCACCCGACCTTCGAATCTATGCCAAGCCGATTCTGATACTCGTGATCAAACATGAGGTTTCGACTACGATCTCAGAGAAAACTTCTCAGGAGAATTGCATTGCGACAAACAGTCGTCGAAGGACGAGTGATCCCCTTAGAGATGTACGCAGAAACTAATCGACCCAGCGGGCTCAGCGGAGTTGTACCAGAACGGAGGTGATGTCGTCCTCGGCCGCACCGGGCGATCAAGCCACTCACCGGAAGATGCCTACGAAACGGTTCAGGGTTAGGGGCCTGGGGCTTACGACGGGATGAGAACAGAGCTTCCAGGTCGGGTTCGAAGCTATGCAGCAGGGCCTGCTGCTGACAACTATAGCAGGTGAGGCTGCAAATCTGCGCGCTTACATAGAAGCAGATCCAACCGCTGATGCTCAGCACCTAGTCTTGCAGATTTCCTGCGCCAAAACGGCGATCCTGCGTAGAATAGAAGCCTACTTGGCCAGAATGCTGTCCGAGGCAGAAGAATGTGCTGACCGTGAAGCTCAGCCTGTAGGCCCCGCGCCTTCAGCTAGAAGCCTCATCCTTCCGACCCTCACGCCTCCCATTAACAACCGATTTAAGGGGTTGAGTCTCGCTGCAGCCCTTCCTAGCCCTCCCAAACCCGAAGCAAAACCCTGAACCAGACCTTAATGCAGCATTCGGGCTTCCTGGGTTTTACCGGGCTCTGAAAAAAAGCCTTCGATACAAAAGCTTGGGGATGTCTGGGGTTGAGGGTACTTGAGTTCTAAGCCCTAAACTCTTCTTCCAGAAGGGAACCTGTACCTGGAGGTTCATGGGTAGTTATAAGTAGGGTGAGAAGTTATAAGTCCCCCAACATGGGTTAGAACAATTCGAATACTCTACTTTATGACCCCACTTAAAACGACCCATTAACCTCCAAGTAGATCAGGCCCCAGAGCCGAGAAAACCCAATCCCCTGAGATCCAGAGTTTCTCCCGGAACAAACCTGGACCCGTTTTGCTACTGGACTCAAGTCTAGCCAGACCGTGACCAGCCAGACCGTGACCTGCAGTCATCTGAGACTTGGACCCTAAACCCTAAGCCCTAATCCGAAACTCCAAAAACCGCCCTCGTGCTCCAAACGCACATAGAAACTGCGGAGACTTTGAGGCTCCCACGCAGTAGTCACCTTGGTTGCCGTGTTGGGTTTAGGGTTGAGTTTAGGATCCCTCAGAGTGGGTCAACCGGCATTCAAACAGAGCTTTGGAAGAACAACCTACTTTTCTTACACGAAGGAGCCCTAATGAGTTTTTGCAATATTCAGGCTCTTTGGATTCTGAGCGTCTTTTGTAAAGGAGAGGTTGTTGGAAACACGCACCTAGACCCCGAAGCCTCAAGAGGAATCTGCCTATGGCTACTGTGGCCGCTCTTCACCTAAACCATACGTGAAAACAAAGTTTTGCAATGCGCCACGCCGAAGACGCCAACGCATCCCCGTAGGCCCTCAGATAGCAAGAGTCGGGCACATTTGCATCGAGCATCGCGCACCCGGAAAACCGAAGGGACAAAGAAGACCCCATATTACATACATTACGTGACACACGACACACGACATCGACAACTTCCGCATCAAGTCAATGTGGACAGTTGCACACGCACCAGGCAACGCGCACTTTCAAACCGTCATGAGAAACATGCGGCATGTACTACAGCTCCGGACCGAAGCTAACCATCTGCGCGCGTATGGCACTGTCGTCTGGCACCTTTCCATCCTTATAGTTTCGGCAGCAAATCGAATTGAAATGAAAGGTGAGACGGTAGGATGCCAAGTCCTTGCTGCCACGTGGGACACATGCTCACGAAGCCAGTCTCTCAGCCGCCGCAGCAGCGAGATGTATGGCAGCCACTTCCCAGGCTTTCGCAGCGACTCGACGATCATGCCATGGCCAGCGTAAGGCACAGCGGCGCAAATGCGCGCCCTCAAGGGTGGCACTGTCGTCCGCCTCATCATTCCATGCCTGCTGGAGCGCTGGCTCAGCGCCGCTCCAAGGGACCCATTTCGGAGGCCGCTTCCTATGGCTATAGGGACCCAATGCAGGATCGTTGCCACACCGAAGTGCAGCAGCTGAGCCTGCAAACGCGTGACCTCCCACGGCCATCAGTCCAGGAGAGAGCGTCGCCGCAAGCCGTGACCGACACTGGAGGCGGCGAAGGAGAGGCAACACCGTCAGAAAAGCTCTGTGGTCCTCCGCCGGCTGGTCTCCCAGATGGACGTCTTATGACCCCGGACGCTGCTGCCCGGCTCCTCCAGCTGGCTATGCAGAACATGCCACCTGAAGGGGCCAGAGCCTCCAGAACAGGGAGC